AAACCTGTCTACCATGGGTGACCCTACTAGTATTTGAAACACCCGTGGCATAGCTTTCAGCATCACAGCAACATGCAGCTGTCACAGTATGACAACCAACAGATGAGTGGTGTGGTTCCCTGAGCGGGAAATGAACCCTGACCGCGGTGGTGAGAGCGCTGAATCTTAACCACTAGACCACCAGGGCTGGCCTCTGCTGTGAACATGGGTGTACAAGTATTTACTTGAGTCCCTTCTTTCAATTCTTTTGGGTATGTAACTAGAAGTGCACATTTACTTTTAAGGGAAAGTGATTTTGAACATATTTTGCCTCAATTTGCAGAAACCGCAAACTCTGCAGTGCCAGACAGCCTGAGTCTTGCTGGGGCTGGGAGGGGGCTGCCGCATGTGGTGAAGGATTTGCAGCCAGCATAAAGGTGACCCATCCTCTTCCCGTGTCCTCCTGTGTGACTGGGGGCCCCAGATCATGCACAACATTGTCTTCCTCAGTACGCGCTTTTCTCCTTCAAAAACATCCTGTCAATGTCTATGTGGAAATTTTTCTGTCTTTTCAAAAGCAGAACTTTTGGGTCCTGGCTCCCACGTGAAGGTCAGAAGGCAGCAGCATCTGCCTGGAGACTTCTGGAGAAATCAGTGGGATCTATGGGAGTTGCAGCAGGATGCCTGCCCTCAAGGAGCCTGCAGCTGAGGTGAGTGACAGACACACAGGCAAACTGCGAAGCGGAGTGGACCTTCTGGGACCATCCAATCTCTCCACCACCATGACCACCAATGTTGTGGGGAATAGGGAAGCCGAGGCCCAGAGTGGGAAAGAGTCCTGTTGTCCCCTCGCAGGATTGGAATCCGGGCTTTTAATCACCCATGACCCTGTGCTGCCCCCTACTGGCCTCTTGCTCCTGGGGCGAGATGTTCTTCAGCTTTTTTCCTAAGCAGCCTCTGGGGCAAAACCTCTTTATCCAGAACCCCTCGAGGGGTCAAATCCTGGGTCCCTGGGTGGGAGCCACACTTGGAAGCTTAGGAGTCCAGGGCCGTTGGTCATATCTCGATGCTGCCCTCCTGGCCAATACCCAGCATCCCTGATCTGACCAGTCCTGGGAGTTCTGACCCATGAGCGGCTCCTTTGTCCCTGCCTGGCTTTGAAAGCCAAGGCAGGGTGGCGTTCTGGCCTGGCGGAGGGGAAGGCTGGACCCTGGAAAGGGGTGACCATGACCAGCCCTGTCTGGGACAGCAGCCTCTGGATGGAGGGCCGCTCTATCTTCGTGCTCACTAGGCTGCAACGCTCTTGAGTGGTTTGCATGAGTGTGAGTGTGTGTGTGCACGTTTATGTGCCTGGGTTCACACTCATACAGTCATACTTGAGGATGTAGCTCTGCCTGTCACTCCTCGGCTCTGAGAGCAAGGCTGAGACCAAAGTTCCGTCTATGTGTGCCGGGGAAAACCCATTCTGTTTAACAAACACGTAGCACTTCCTCAATACCAGGCAAAGCTCTAGGCACTTTTCAAACACTTTCTTAGTTAAGCCACAACGACCCTATGAGGTATGTACTATTATTATCCCCATTTTATAGATGAGGAAACTGAGACACAGAGAGGTGAAGTGATTTGCCTAAGATCAGATGGCCAGTGAGTGGTGAGTCTAGCTCCCGGACACAGGATCTTAGCCGTGATGCTAGACTGCCTGCATGTGCTCATGTTGGAGGCTGATTTTGAACTTCCCTTTGTTTCACCAAGACCATTGCCATGGGGGATGTGGTTGAAGCGCACGGCAGAGGCTGAGGATGGATCACCACCATTATCCCAACAACAATAATAATAGTCCACACTCAGTGTGCCAGGCCCGACGCTGGGAATAGTGTCACATGGACTAGTCTCAGCTCCTCCTCACAGTGAACCCCTCAAGCACTTCTTCTTCTCTGTGTCACACGTGAGGACACGGAGACTCAGAGAGCTTGGGGACTTGCCCAAGGCACAAAACCAGGAAGAAGCAAAATTGGAATCGGAACCCAGGCCTGTCAGACAGCAAAGTGCACATTCTTGCTGTGTTGCCAGACTGGTTTTTTGTTTGTTGGTTTGCCTTAACTTTTTAAAAAAAAAATTGAGGTGCAATTCACATAACATAAAAATTTAAACATTCTAAAGCATACAATTCGCTTATTCACAATTCGTACATTCACAATATTGTGCAACTATCACCTCTCTCTAGTTCCAAAACATTTTCATCACCCTGAAGGAGACCTTGTAGCCTTCAAGCATTCCCTCCTCTCAGCCCCTGACAACCACGAACCTGCTTTCTATTTCTATAGACTTAACTATTCAGGATATTTCATAGAAATGGAATCATATAATATGTGGCCTTTTGTGTCTGACTTCTTTCACTTAACATGTTTTCAAGGTTCAAGGATCAGGACCTCATTCCTTTTTATGGCTGGATGATATTCCATTGCATGTACAGTCATGTGTTGCATAATGACGTTTCAGTCAATGATGGAATATGCATCAAATATGATGGTGGTCCCATATGATTAGTGCCATATGGCATAGCTGTGTAGTAGGCTGTACCATCTAGGTTTGTGTAGGTACACTCTGTGATGTTCGCACAGTGACAAAATCGCCTGACAATGCATTTCTCGGAATGTGTCCCCGTCATTAAGCAACACATGACATTTTGTTTACCCGTTTATCAGTTGATGGACAAGTAAGTTGTTTCCACATTTTCACTGTTGTGAATAGTGCTGCTATGAACATTCATATACCAGTATTTGTTTGAGCCCCTATTTTCAATTCTTTAGGAATATACCTAGGAGTGGAATTGCTGGTTATGTGGTAATTCTATGTTTAAACTTGTGAGGAACGACTATACCATTTTCCACGCTGGCTGAACCCTTTTACATTCCCACCAGCAACGTATGAGGGTTCCAATTTCTCCACATTCTCACCCACATTTGTTATTTTCTGTATTTTTCATTTAATTTTTAAAAAAATTCTAGCTGTCTTAGTGGGTATGAAGTGGTATCTCATTTTTTTTTTTTTGTGAGAAAGATCAGCCCTGAGCTAACGTCCATGCTAATCTTCCTCTTTTTGCTGAGGAAGACCGGCTCTGAGCTAACATCTATTGCCAATCCTCCTCCTTTTTTTTCTTCCCCCCAAAGCCCCAGTAGATAGTTGTATGTCATAGTTGCACATCCTTCTAGTTGCTGTATGTGGGACGCGGCCTCAGCATGGCCGGAGAAGTGGTGTGTCAGTGCGCGCCCGGGATCCGAACCCGGGCTGCCAGTAGCGGAGCTCGCACACTTAACCGCTAAGCCACAGGGCCGGCCCTCTCGTTTTTTTTGATTTTTACTTCCCTCATGACTAGTGATATTGAGCATCTTTTCATTTCCTTGTTGGTCATTTGTTTATCTTCCTTGGAGAACTGTCTATTCTGTCCTTTGCTCAACTTTATTTGGGTTGTTTTCCTTTTGTGCTTTCACTGTTTATTTATTTATTTATTTATTTATTTATTTATTTATTTATTTATTTTTAAAGATTTTATTTATTTTATTTTTTCCCCCCAAAGCCCCAGCAGATAGTTGTATGTCATAGCTGCACATCCTTCTAGTTGCTGTATGTGGGACTCTGGCCTCAGGATGGACGGAGAAGTGGTGCCTCGATGCGCACCCGGGATCCGAACCCGGGCCACCAGCATCGCAGCGCGCGCACTTAACCACCAAGCCACAGGGCCGGCCCCCCTCACTTTTTATTTAGAAATAATTTCCAACTTACAGAAAAATCACAATATAGTACAAAGAAACCCATATAATCTTTACTCAAAATCCATCTATTATTAACATTTTGACCCATTTGTTTCTATCTATCTGTCTATCTATCTACTATTTTTTTTTCCTGAACCACTTGAGAGTAAGTTGCATACATCATGGCTTTTTACCCCTAAATACTTCAGAATAAGGACTTCATTACATAACCATAGTATAGTTATCAACTTCAGTAAATCTGACACTGATATGATACTCCTTCCTAATCTACTGTCTGCGTTCCAATTTTATCAATTGATCCAATAACGTGCATTTTCCCTTCCAGTACAGGACCGTCTAGAGTCCCATGTTGCACATAATTATCATCTCTCTTTTAATCTGAAACAATCCCTTAATCTAAGAAAGACATAAATAACGTTTTATGACTTTGAAATTTTTTAATAATACAGTCCCTTTAAAAAAATAGTGTTCCAGGTGCCGGCCCCGCTGCGTAGTGGTTAAGTGCGTGCGCTCCGCTGCTGGTGGCCTGGGTTCGGATCCCAGGCGTGCACCTATGCACCGCTTGTCAGGCCATGCTGTGGCGGCGTCCCACATAAAGTGGAGGAAGATGGGCACAGATGTTAGCTCTGGGCCAGTGTTTCTCAGCAAAAAGAGGGGGATTGGCATGGATGTTAGCTCAGGGCTGATCTTCCTCACCAAAAAAAAAAAAAAAATAGTGTTCCATGCTCTTGCCATACGATCCAGCAATTATGCTTCTTGGTATTCACACAAAGGAGTTGAGAACTTATGTCTACACAAAAACCTGCACACAGATGTTTATAGCAGCTTTATTCATAATTGCCAAATCTTGGAAGCAACCAAGATGTCTGTCGGTAGGTGAAAGGATGAATAAACTGTGGTACATCCAGACTATGGAATATTATTTAGCACTAAAAAGAAATGAGCTATCAAGCCATTAAAAGACCTGGAGGAACCTTAAATGCCTATTAGTAAATGAAAGAAACTAATCTGAAAGACTGCATACTCTACGATTCCAATATGACATTCTGGAAAAGTCAAAACTGAGGAGACAGTAAAAAGATCAGGGGTTTCCAAGGGTTGAGGGGAGAGAGGGATGAATAGGTGGACCATAGAGGATTTTTAGGGCAATGAAACTACTCTGTATGCTACTATAATGGTGGATATATGTCATACATTTGTCCAAACCCATAGAATGTACAACACCAAGAGTGAACTCTAATGTAAACGATGGACTTTGGTGGTAATAATGTGTCAAAGAAGTTCATCGATTATAACAAATGTCCCACTCTGGTGGGGACATTGATAATGGGGAGTCTGTGCATGTGTAGGAGCAGGGAGTGTATGGGAGCTCTCTGTACCTTCCCCTCAATTTTGCTGTGAACCTAAAACTGCTCTAAAAAATAAAGTCTATTAAAAAAAAAAATAGTGTCCTTCAATTTGGGTTTGTCTGATGTTTCCACGTGATTAGATCCGGTCGCGCATTCCTGGCCGGAATCCTGCCTAGACGATATTGTGCCCTGCTCAGGTGCTCACTGTACCTCATTGATGATGCTATTCTAATCCTTTGGTCAACATGTTGCTTGATTCTTCTACTGTATAGTTACTCTCCCCCTACCTCCCACTACTAGTAAACAATACACAAAGAGACACTTGAGGACCACGCCAATATCTTGCCCCCCATCAAAAACTCCCCCCTGGATTTTGCTTCCATTGGTGAGTTTTGCCCAGGCTGTCTTCCTGTAGGCAGCCCCTCGGGCATCCTTGTTTCTCCAGGTAGGGCATTAGACAGGAGTGGGTGCTAGCCTTCACTTACAGTCCAGTCCAGTGCTGCCCTCCTGGCCAATACTCAGCCCTCCTGATTTGACCCGAGCTCGAGTCCCTTCTTCGTTCACAGCCCACCTCTCGTGTGGGCAGCCAGACCCTCTCACAGTGAGCAAGACTCTGGAGACCCATCTCGTTTCCTGTCCTGAGAAGCTTCTCTTCCTCATCGCAGCCACTGTAGCCACTGCAGCCGCAGGCTCGACCAAGGGCACGGTACTGTCCAGTCACCCAGGGTGGGGGGGCTGGGAGCTGTCTTCCTCCTTAGCAGTGCTTAGAGACTGGGGATGGTGAAATCTCACCGGCGAGGCTGTGGTGGGCTCATCAGGAACCTGTGATAAGATGCCAAGCAGTTAAGGCAGCTGCTTTGAGGTTGAGAGGCTGGGAGCCCACAGGAAGTGAGCTTTCGGTGCAGAGCCCATGTGTCTTCGCTTCGGCACTCGTCCTGGGCCAGCAGCTGCAGGCTGGTGAGGGTGCGGGCATGTCCGCGGAGCGCCGGGTGCCTGGGGCAGAGGGGCCTCAGGGCCGTTCCCCAGGGCCAGGCGGGTGCTCTGGGCCCTCGGGCTCAGGTCAGTGCCCCCCTTCAGCCATGCCCGCCCCCTGGACCCTGCCCCGCTGGAGAGCTAATGTGGCCGCTGCCGTGCTCTGCTACATCAACCTCCTGAACTACATGAACTGGTTCATCATCGCAGGTGAGGAAGCAGACGGGCCTCCTGGGCAGCACCTGCTCGTCCCCTCACTGGCTGCTCTGCTACCGGCTGGCGTTGCGTATCCCCCGTGGCCTTCCGTCCTGCAAACTTTCTTCCTGTGCAGCGCATCCCTGCTGTTCTCACCCCTGGAGGTGTTTTCAGCCAAGCCTGACGGGGGGAAGGCCGATTGAGCTCCCAGTGCCGCCCCAAACTAAGAGTGTGCACATGGGTGTGGGTGCACAATGGGTGGGTGAGCACAGCAGGGAGGACCAGCCTTCAGGCAAAGGCCCGGAGGTTCTGGGTGGAATGCCGGGGTAAGGTTACGGAAGATAGGGCAGCCTGGCCCAGCTCCCAAGCAAGAAATAGCTTGCTGGGTGTTTCCGGGACAGCAGGCTGCGTGCAAACCTTCCACATTCTGCCTTCCTTCCTGCAGACACCAGGCTTCTGCTCTGTCTTCTTGTCACTCACTCATTTACTCATTCATTCATTCAAGGTTCAACCTTCTTTTCTCTCTTCGTCACTGATTCATTCAAGATTGACTGAGCACTAACTGTGGGCAAGATCCTCTGGTGGGCCTTGGGGACCCAGGGGAGGGGCAGTCAATCTTATATTTCCTGAACTCAGGAATGACAATCTCATGGGGCAGAGGGAGAAGCTCATTAACAGGGATCCTGCAAGGCACAGAGATGTGGCCAGGCGAGGGAGGCACAGACCAGCCTGTGGAGCTCTGAGGGGGCACCTGCAGTGGCCAGGCATCGCTGGGGCCAGGATATTGATTCATCAGCTACCAGCCTGGCACACCAGAAGCAGATGTGGAATGAATGGGACTCAGAGGGTTGCAGACAGCACCAGACCCAGAGTCGGTCTTTTTTTTTTTTTTTTTTTTGTGAGGAAGATCAGCCCTGAGCTAACATCCACGCTAATCCTCCTCTTTTTGCTGAGGAAGACCGGCTCTGAGCTAACATATATCGCCAATCCTCCTCCTTTTTTTTTTTCCCCCAAAGCCCCAGTACATAGTTGTATGTCATAGCTGCACATCCTTGTAGTTGCTGTATGTGGGACGCAGCCTCAGCATGGCCGGAGAAGCGGTGCGTCGGTGCGCGCCCGGGATCCGAACCCCAGCCGCCAGCAGCTAAGCGCGCGCACTTAACTCCTAAGCCACGGGGCCGGCCCCCGGTGTCCGTCTTTGAGGAGCTCAGAGGGACACAGAACACATGTACCAGTAGCTCTAAGACGGAACAGAGTGGGGTGAGACTCAGCGGGGCAGCCCCAGGACGAGTGACTGAGGGTTCCGGCAGAATTCACGGAGGAGGGGAATTTAGTTTGGGCCTTGAAGGCCGAGAAATTTGACAAGGCAGGAATGGGGTGAGGCATGGGCATTCAGAGAGAGGGGTCAGCGTGAGCCAAGGCACATGGGGTGAAAGTGCATGCTCTGATCAGGGATGGAGAGGGGGAAGGAAGTAGGAAGCTATTCTAAAAGGGTGTTTGGGGCCAAATCATAGGCTTCTTGGGTGCCAGGCTGGGAGCTTGGACTCTCTGCCGAGGCAAAGGGGAGCTATGGAAACATTTTTTAAGGGAGGGACTAATAATCAGATTTGAGGCCCTGATGGAGGCAAATGAGATGGGGAGGTCAATTCAGAGCTCCTGCAATGGATTAGGCCAAAGCTGAGGAGGCCTGGGTTGGAGTGTGGGTGGCGGGCATGAAGAGGAGGGGAGGCAGCAAGAGACAGAGGGGAGCGGGCAATCGTGAGTGTGGAGCTCTTTGAGCCCCTCTGGCTGGGTCCCTGCTCTCTGGCCACTCGCCCTGGGAGGCCCCTGGCCGGGCCGTCAGACCCTGAGTCCTGCCTGCCTGAGGCCCCATCACTGTTGGGACTTCCTCTGGCTGTACAGAGGAGGCAGGAGAAGTGAAACCACGCTGGGGACGGCTGGGGGCAGCCATTCTCAGGGCAATGAGAATTCTTGTGTGGGAAGCAGCTCTTCGGGAGGCCAGAGTGACAGCTTAAAGGTGAAAAACGATGCTGGGGCCACACCTGGCCCTGGGCTGCCCCCAGAGCGCCACAGGATTGGGAGGAGCCAAGAGCAGACAAAACGAGGGGACCAGCCCTTCCTGGAATGGAAGAAGAGTGCGATTATAGAGAATTTTTATGTGGCTATTTACTTTGCTTATCTGTGTTGTCTGTTTTTTTCTCTCCAACGAATATATCTTATTAGTGTAATTACAAATATTAAAAGGAAGGAAAGACATGCAGGGTGGTGGGCCTGGATGCTGTGGCGACCGGGCCCAAAGTCAGTATCTAAACAAACATCTCTTCCTTCGCTTCTCTGCTCCTTTGACCTGTCTTTGCCTGCTGGCGGGTCTTGGGGGAGTAGATGTGGGGCTTTCTTCCCCACCATGTGGGCATTTCTGCAGGGCCCCATCTGGGGCCTTCTGCTCTCTTCTGTCACCCCGGGTGGTAGGGTGAGCTGCCTCTGGCTGGGACTCTAGTGCCAGCTCCAATTCCAGCTGCACAACCGTGGGAGGCTGGAGCCTCTGTTTCCTCATCTGCATAATGGGGACAATGACAGTCCCCACCTCTTAGGGCCACAATTGCAAGTGTCCAGCTCAGGGCCTGGGCCTTGGCCATCCCGTAATTCAGGGAGAGTGATGACTGTTCCTGATAATGACGGGGCCAGAGCCTCCCAGCTCAGACGAGCAGGTGCTTTGGTCCTGACTAACTCTTTCTGAACTATCACCAAGGGGCTGGGGGGATTTCAGGGAACAGAGCCCGGGGTCTTGGGGCCCGCTTCCTCTCTCTGCATTGGGCTGAGCACCCACTGCACCAGCCCATGGCCTAGCAAGATCCTGGAGGGGCTTCAGAGACCCAGCTGCCCCCAGGGCAAGAGCCTGCCGCCCTCAGGGAGGTGGGGTCATGGTCGGACCTCATGGGGACCTGCCTGTGAAGCTCTCACGTGCACTCCCATATCTGTGTGTTCATGCCTCTGGAGGAGCAGGCTTGTGCATGCACGTGTGCAGGCCTGGGCACACACGTCTTTGCATGTACATGCTCACGCGTGTATATGTACGCCTATGAATGTCTGGAATTTGCACACGAGCAGGGCTGCTGTGTTGCACAATCCCAGGGGTTTCCATTTAGGCTGGAGTCTAAGTGAATGGCTATGCACCGTGCATCAACAGGGAGCTGCCAGTCACTCTGACTGTGAAGCATGTGTGCACATGCGTGCGTGACTGTGGGTGTGTCTTTATGTGTACATCTCAGTGTATATGTGTGTCTGGGTGTACGAGACTGGGCTTACACGCCTGTGGAGTGCAGGCTCCTGTGTGTGTATATACATCTGTGCCTCTGTGAGGCTGTTTCTCTGGGCGTGCCTGTTTGTATGTGCGTATGTGGAGCCACATGTCTGTGTGTCTGCATGACTGTGTGTCTGTGGCTGGGGGTGCGTGCTTGTCTGTGCCTTCGGGATGTGTGTTTCTGTGTGTGTTTGATGTGCACTCACCTGTGTGTGCTGGCTCCTGTATCTGTGCGTGTGTGTGGTTGTACGCATGCGTGGGAGAGAGGGGAAGAGAACAGTGGGCCCGGGTGCCACGCCCTGTGCGGTGTGGGTAAGTGGTGGCCCTGTCCCAAACGCGAGGCAGCTGCCTTTAGAGGCCTGCAGGGCCACTTCCCATTTCCTGAGCGCTGTCCGTCTGTCCACAGGAGTGCTGCTGGATGTGCAGAAGTTTTTCCAGATCAGTGACAGCAATGCTGGTTTGCTTCAGACGGGTAAGGAGGGTGTCCCGGGCCTGGAGCTGGGGCCCTGGGCTCAAGCTGGAGTGGGGTCTTTCAGCGGGTCCTGTTCTGAGCCCAGCTCCAGCTGCTGGGAGATGGGGGCCAGGCTGTGCCCCTGGCACAGAGGAGTGAGCACTGAGGATGGGTGGTGTTCGGGTGTGAGGGACAGTCCGGGTGGGAGAAGGAGATGGCTCTGGCTGAGACCTCGTGCTTGAACAGCCCCTTTGGGTTTGAGGACAGGGGCTGCGGAGGGAGCAGAGGGGGAGGAGCTGGAAAGGCTCCTGAGCTTCGGATCATGGCTGTGGGGTCGGTCACTCATCCTTTCACGTTTTCTCAGCTCAGCTGGGGACCGGAAAATCAGCCAGGGCTGAGGAATCCTGACACATGCTTTCCTCTCACAGACCTGAGCAATCTGACCACCAGGACACGCACAGACACAGACACATACCCTGCCACGGGCTCAGAGGGGGTGTGGGCCCACAGAGCCACAGTCCAGCAGCGAGGAGCAGCCACATGTCCCGTTCCAAGGTGGCGGCGGTTGGGGTCATGAGGCACTAAGTTTCCCCTGGGGGTGCCTGGATGGTGGCACACACACGGACACACACATAGCCATGTGTGTGCACATACTGTCACAACTCAGGATACACCTGTGTGCACACACCCAACCTGTGACTAGCACGTGCGTGCTTCCTCTCCGCAGGCCCCTCCCCCATCCTAATAGTCCATCTCCACGCCTTGGAATGAGGCTCTCACACTGCGGTACGGGGACCCTGGGGACACAGAAGAACTTTCCAGGGGCTACATGAACAAAGTCTTGAGAGCATCTCTTTACAGATCCTCAAGGCCATGTATTTCTTTCCTAAGATGGATCTGCCTGAGAACAAGCCTCGGTTCTCCTTTCCCACATCCCGTTTAATAATCACCTGCCATCATTTTAAGCAGGAACATACACCTCTCTCCCATTCTGAGTTTTACTATGGTGCACTGCCCTGGGTGTAAAAAGCTCCAGGGTGCCAGCCAGAGGGACCCCTTGGGGATGTTTGGCTTCTGCTGGGGAGGCCCTGGGAGCAAAGCAGAGGGAGCGCCAGCAGAAACCCACTGGAGGTGTTTCCTCCCGGCCACAAGCCCATGGCAGGGCGCCAAGCCTTATCTAGCTGTTCCGATGGTGTGTGACAGTCTACTATTTATCTACGATTTAGAATTCAGAAGTGAGATGGTTGTCTCAGGGATGGGTGTCAACCCAGTTATTTCAATAAAAAAATGAAGCCAACATTTTAACATCTTTCTTACAGACAGCCAGGCTGGTCTGTCTGATGGATTTGGCAGCTAAGGACAGGTTTTGCTCATCAGACCCTACAGCGGACATTTCCCATAAACTGAATGAACTCGATCTGCCGTTCCAAGGATTTGGATGAAAATATACCTAAAAATGGACAATAGTGTTGGAAATCACATCCTTTGCAACTATTTAAACTTACAATAGAAACGTTTTAAATGTCAGCTGGGAATGCAGGAAGGGGCACACAGTTCTATAAACTTCTTTAAGCGGCAAAGAGTTAGCAGACTCTGCTTTAGACTGGGGGTCTTTTCCAATTGCTCCTGTCTAGGGGCTGAGGCCCGCAGCCAATGCTGATCTTCCAGTTATATTTGTAGCCAGAGTGAGACCGTCTCGGCTCGGTACCCACAACCTTGTAGGTCGTAAACAGACAATGGTAGTTAAGTCAACATGTCCCCTCCCTGGTTCTTACCATGGTGAACGGGATTATTACTACAAGGCCCCTGATAAGTGAGATGCCATGGAGGGAGAAGTTTGTGTGTATATGAGAGAGAGAGAGAGAGAGTACGTGAACGTGTGCATGTGGACGTGTGAGTGTGTAGTGGGGATATGTGTGAGCGTGTGTTTGGGAGTAGGTGAAGGGGAGGGTCATCTCTGCAGAAGCATCCTGAAAAGATGTGTGGAGGGGCTGGCCCGGTGGCGTAGCGGTTAAGTTCGTGCGCTCCGCTTCGGCAGCCTGGGGATCACAGGTTCAGATCCCAGGCGCCCACTGATGCACCGCTTGTCAAGCCATGCTGAGGCGGCGCCCCATATGAAGCAGAGGAAGATGGGCACAGATGTTAGCCCAGGGTCAGTCTTCCTCAGCAAAAAGAGGAGGATTGGCAATAGATGTTAGGTCAGGGCTAATCTTCCTCTCACACACGCACACACACACACATCTCTTTGTGTGTGTGGGGGGTGGGCCCGGCCTGGTGGCGTAGTGGTTAAGGGCATGCGCTCCGCTTTGGCGGCCTGGGCTTCGGATCCTGGGTGCACACCGATGCACTGCTTGTCAAGCCATGCTGTGGCGGTGCCCCATATAAAGTAGAGGAAGATGGGCACTGATGTTAGCCCAGGGCCAGTCTTCCTCAGCAAAAAGAGGAGGGTTGGCATGGATGTTAGCTCAGGCTGATCTTCCTCTCACACACACACACAAAAACAGATGCGTGGAAAGGGCCTGATGGCCAGGCTTGCCTCTGGTGACCTCAGGTGAGTCTTTCCACCATTCTGGGTCTTGTGCAACGGCCCTAAGACCCTCCCTGCTGTCTGTCCACAGGGCTGCAGAATGGAGGAAGCTGATGACTAAGAGAGGGCTTAAGAGCTCTAAGAGTGGGGTAGAGGGTGGAAGGAAGCAGTGGTCAGACTTCCCCACCCATGGAACAGAGAGGCTGCTGGAGTTAGCTAATTGATTAATAATATTTACAAAGAACACGGATGTGGCCCTTACCACGTGCCAGGCACGATTCTAAGTGCTTTATAGTATTAGCTCACTTAATCTTCAAAACAATCCCAGGAGGCAGGTATAATTATTATGCCCATTATACAGATGATGAACCTGAGGCACAGAGAGGCTGTGGGGCTTGCTGAAGGTCACGTAGCTAGTAAGTGACAAAGCTGAGATTCAAATTCAGGCAGCTGCCTGGAGAGTCCTCTTAACTCCATGCTCCTTAATCACCCCACCCCATCACAGAAATGATTTGAATTTGGAGATGCTAGGAATGAAGGCATGCCTGCCTTTCCCTTGGGGGCAGGGGTCTCCATCCCAGGGCATCTGCAGGTTTAAGGTGTTTATATCCCGTAAAGGATCCCTGCCCCAAATCTCATAAAAGTATTAGAAGATTCAGGAAATATTTTTATAACCTTTGGGTGAAGATCTGCATTAACAAGGCAGGAAACAGCCTCCCTGGAAGAAGATTGATAAATTTGACTACATCAGAGCTGAACTCTTCTGTATGATGGTGATTGAAACTATAGATGCAAGTAGTTAAAATAATAGATAACACTTGGGCGTTTACACAAAGCCAGTCACTACCTTTTATATACTTTATTTTATTTAATCCTCTTAATAACCTGGTGAGGGAAGTACTATGACTATCTCATTGTATAGTTGATGAAAGCAGAACAGGAGAGTTAAGGAATTTGCCCAAGGTCACACAGCTGGGAAGTGGTGGGGTCAGGATATGAGCCCGGGTAGTTCAATCCCAGAATTTGCATTTTAAATCCTGAATACAAATGTAAAGCATGGGGAGAAATTATTTCCAAACAACAAAGCGCCCAATAGGAAAATGAGCAGAGGATGCGAGCCCAGGAATTGCTGCTCAGCCTCACTGGGAATAAAGACAACGCAGATTACAACATCAGAGACATTTGTTTTGCAAGCATTAGATGAATGACAATAAAATGATTGATCATAAGTGTCAGCAAGGGTGCTGGCACAGACTTCTATGCAAGCGTAAACTGATACAGCCTTTTCGGAGGCCTATTTTGCCAGTAGCTATTAAAATTTTAAATGCCATTGACACCAAAGACCATTCTCTGTGGAGTATTAGGTCGAACCATATTAAATTGCCGCTTTTGTAGGTCAAAACTGGCCTAATTTCCGCAATTGCGTATGGCTCAACCCAATACTCAAGCGAGTCAGGGGAGAGTGGGAGGGACTGGAACCTGACCCGGGCCCAATCTGGACACTCATTGGGCTGAGGAAATGTCAATCATCCGTGCTCAGTGAATGGAGACCCAGACACTGGGCGGGGCCCTCCAAAGCCTGAGGCCCTTGGATGGGGGGACCGGGTGGAGGAGGGTCCAGGCTGTCCCCTGCCACCTGCCAGCTCTCTTTGGCAGCGGACACACCCTCCTCGGAGGGTGGAGGCGATTTCATTTAAGGAACAGAAGCAGTGAGGGTACCTAACCGTGTGGTATCGTCAGGCAAAAACGTGGCGGTTTCTTTGTCTTCACAGAATAACAAACGTATTCATTAATCCAGTCGCCAATTCATGAGGGTTTACTTTTAAAAATGGGATAAATGCAACTGACAACGTCAGGGGAAGGTATTACCTACTTAGGAAAACCAACGCTTTTCCAGGCTCCAGGAATCACTGGGCTCATTCTAAACCCTGCTCATCTGCTAAAAGCAGGCCCAGGCAGACCTCCCTCCCTTCCTCCACCCCCTACCCGCAGCAGGGGTGTGAGAGCAAAATCAGGCCAGTCCCAACGTCAGGCTCACAGCGGGCAGGCGTGCTCTTGCAGACAGGGCACTGGCAGGCACCAAGCACTGGCAGCTCCGTGCCAGGCTGCGTGTTCACATCTGTTTCACCTTTACACAGCATCAGAGGGTGTGTTGACTTCTCCAGTGTTGGGGTGATGCTCAGAGAGGTGGAGTTAGTAGCCCGAGGCTGCACAGTGAGCAGGTAGCAGACGCGGGATTTGAGCCCAGGCCCACCCCCCCATCTCCCACGTCCCAGTCCCCTGACTCTGGGCAGTGGGTTATGTGTTAGGCAGGGAGGGGTTCACCTCCTTCTGGCCTCGACCCACTGCCAAGGTGCCAGCTTGTTGCGTCTGAGCCAGGGCCTTTCTGGGGGCCTGCTGGGCCCGTCTGCCCACCCACCCTTGTAGGGGGATGCATGCTGCCCCTTGCCTGTCTCCTCCAGTCTTCATCGGCTGCCTGCTGCTGTCTGCACCCGTGTTTGGCTACCTGGGCGACCGACACAGCCGCAAAGCCACGCTGAGCTTTGGGATCCTGCTCTGGTCCGGAGCAGGCCTCTCCAGCTCCTTCATCTCCCCCCGGGTAGGTGCCCTCACCCTTGCACAGGCCCCAGGGGACCTTCCCTCACCTGCTTCCTCCCTGATCCAGTCCCATCAGAGCAGGGTGCAGCTGCCTGTGCTCCCTTCCAGGCTCCAGGCTGGCTCGGGGGTTGCCTTCCAGGGCTCAGAGAGGAGCCCGTTAGACTTTCTTTTTTTTTTTTTTAATTTTATTTTTCCCCCAAAGCCCCAGTAGATAGTTGTATGTCATAGCTGCACATCCTTCTAGCTGCTGTGGGACGCGGCCTCAGCATGGCCAGAGAAGCGGTGCGTCGGTGCACGCCCGGGATCCGAACCCGGGCCGCCAGTAGTGGAGAGCGCGCACTTAACCGCTAAGCCACGGGGCCGGCCCCCGTTAGACTTTCTTAACAGGAGCCTTCCTCTCTTGCACCCCCCGCTGCTGCCCGTGGCTTCATTTCCTCCGACTGTGCTAGGGACGGGGTTGGGGTAACAGCTACTGTCTGGGAGAACTGGCCTCGTTGGCAAAGGCGATGCCCAGGACAAGGGCTCCTCGGGCATGGGGGCAGGCGGTGGCTGCAGGCGCCATCGGGGGGCACCCGTGTGATTTGGGGAACCTGGGCTGGGAAGATAGTGAGGTGTTTGTAGCCCGGATGCCCTCTTCCTCCCCTGGGGGCACGTGTCACCAGGTGCCCTCAGCCCCTCTGACAAGTCCTCGGGTCCCTTGCCCCGTGGGTGATTTCTGGAACTCACCCTGGTCTTGTGTTGGCTTGCCCAGTATTCCTGGCTCTTCTTCCTGTCCCGGGGAGCCGTGGGCATTGGCACAGCAAGCTACTCCACCATTGCGCCCACCATCCTGGGCGATCTCTTTGTGAGGGACCAGCGGATCCGGGTGCTGGCCATCTTCTACATCTTCATCCCTGTTGGAAGGTTGGTATCACCCTGGACCCACTTCCTTGGGTGGTAAACTGAGGCCCAAAGGAGTCAGAACTGGAGCTGGGCTGGGGGTAGGAGACATCAGACTAGGAGGCTGGGATCTGCATCCCAACTGTACCTTTCCCTCACCATGTCACTTTGCCTCTCTGAGCCTCAGTTTCCTCATCTGTAAATGGGGGCAATAGCACCACCGATGGGCTGTGTGAGGACTAGAGATGATAAAGATGCTCCCCGCGTGCTAGTAGACTCCCGGAAGGGGTGACAAAGAGCAGCGTGGCAGAGAGGCCTGCACAGGGAGGGCCGGCTCTGGGAGGCGAGGCAGGGAAGTGCGTTAGGGCCGGCCGGGCCCCCCGCAGCGGGAAGGACAGAGTGGGGTCTGCAGCCAGGCCCCTGAGCTCTGACCCGGGTTTCCTGAAGTCACCTGACTCAGGAGGGGCTGGGCGTTGGGAGAGAGGGCAGGGGGTCCTCGTATAGGGAGACAGTGGACAGTGGTGCTGAGGATGGGCCGGGAGCCAGAGGTCACCGGTGACTTGACCAAGGGCAGTGGACATCTGGGCCTCACGTGGCTCACTGCTCCCAGGGAAAGGACTATGGGCTTCAGAGAGCCAGCTCCCTGGGGTGGGGGCACCGCGGCTCAGGCGGGCCTTGGGGCCTTGGGCCTGCCTCCCTGCCCTCACCGCCCACGTCCCTGCTCCTCTGTTGCAGTGGTCTGGGCTACGTGCTGGGGTCGGCTGTGACGGCGCTGACTGGAAGCTGGCACTGGGCCCTCCGAGTGAGTCCAGCTTCCTTTTCTTTCCTCCGCTTTCCCCCTGGGCCGGCAGGGACTTTCCAGCCTCCAGTGGCCTTAGCCACTTGGCACGGTACCTGCACCCTGCAGGGTGGTCAGGGGTCGGCAGCTTCAGACATTGGGGCCTCATGTGGAACGTGGACCATGGAAGTCGCAGCCCTGGTTCAAATCTCGGCTGCTCAGTTGCTAGCTGTGTGACCTCGAGCAAGTCACCTCTGTCTTCAGAGCCTCACTTTGCCTATCTGTAAAGTAGGGGGAGTAGTGCTTATGGGATCTGGAGGATTCATGAGACAAGGGGTGGAAAGATACTGGGGCAGGGCTGGGAGGCAGGAGGAGGTGTGGGCCCGGAAAGAGGACAGTTATGGGGCAGCACGTGCTCAGGAGTCAGGGCCAGCGTCGTCAGGGCTCCAGTGCTCGACCACGTCGGGCTCACTGATCCCAAGAGAGCAGTGTCTGTGCTGGACAGACAGGGATTAAATGAAATCCCAGAGGACCCCACTCCCCAGAGAGGCTGTGCTCTCAGGGGTGATGGGGTGAGAAACAGTTGTCTGTCAAGCTTTGTGTGTAACCAGCACCCAGGAAATGAGCCCCCTCTGCCCCCGCCAAGGCGCAGAGCATCCTAAGAGCCCGGACCACAGAGGTCAGTAACCCCCCAGGATCTCCGGGGTCACAGGAGTGTGTGACCCTGAGTTTCCTAGACCCTCCTGTCCCCAGGTCATGCCCTGCCTGGAAGCCATGGCCTTGATCCTGCTTATCGTGCTGGTTCCAGACCCGCCCCGGGGCGCTGCTGAGAAGCAGGGGGAGGTGGCCATGGGGGGCCTGAGGAGCAGCTGGTGTGAGGACGTCAGATACCTGGGCAGAAAGTGAGTGTCCCTGATCCTCCCTATGTGCCACCCAAAACCCCTCTGTTTGCCCCAGCATCACTGACCTCCCTCTCTCCACCTCCAGGGAGCCCTCCCTGACTGTCCCACTGTTCACAACCCTCTTCCTCCTCTGAGCTCCCACTCACCAACTGAGATGCCTTCCCTCACTTGGCTACCCCCTTTGCCTTGCCATGTGATGGACTAGGAGCCGGGAGGGAGGGAAGGAGGGAGGGAGGGAGGCGGCATGAGCTCCCGCCTGGCTCTGCCCCTGCCTTATCCCTGAGTGACCTGAGACTTGGAGCCTCACTTCCCTCATTTATTCAACGGACATAATTCTCCAGCCTGCCCGCTTCCCGGGGTTGTCGGGAGGGTGCCGGGAATTAATGACTCCCCTCTCCAAGCCTCCTGGGAGCGTATCCATCCTCTCTCCCAGGCGTGGTTGATGAGGCAGACAGAAGTCCACTGCACTCCCAGGCCTCATGATTTACTGAAATATGGGGCACAGACAGGACCTGACTCTCTTTGTTATGGAGCCACGAGACCAGTGGAGGGCACTCGGAGGAAGGTGGGGGCAGCAGGGACCGTCCCTTGGAGAATGTGATGTTGAATTTGGGCCTTCCAGGATGGGAAGAGTTGGTTCTGCAGAGAGGAGGGAGGAAGGCACAGGTGTGGAGGTGAGATGTGCAGGGTTCTTAGAGAATGCCCGAAGGGTCCAGAGGCTGGAGCCTGCCTGAGTGCCCGGGTGACCTGAGTGCCCCGGCGTGGGGAGGCAGCCGTCAGGAGCAGGCAGGCCCCTGCAGCCCCAGCTCTCTCCCGGCTTCAGCCAGGGGGTTTTCTCTTGCAGCTGGAGTTTTCTGTGGTCGACTCTTGGAGTGACAGCCATGGCCTTTGTGACTGGAGCTCTGGGCTTCTGGGTCCCCAAGTTTCTGTTCGAGGCCCGTGTGGTGCATGGGCTGCAGCAGCCCTGCTTCCAGGAGCCGTGCAGCAGCCAGGACAGGTGAGGGGCCTCTGGGAGCCCGGGGCACTTGGCCCAGGTCTGGGGGGCTCTTGATGGGGAAGTTCTCAGGAGGTTCTGAGCCCCCAAACTCAGTCTCTCTGGGCACACACTGCTCTGTGAAGACACCAGGCTTGGGGCCCAGCTGGCAGGCAGGAGGGCTTGTTCTGGCTCTGGCTGAGCTCCTGCCATCGTGGGTGGCCACAGGCAGCTCCCTTGTCCTCTCTGGGCCCCAGTCCCTGTCTTCCCACGCTTGGGGCTGCTGCGGGGTCCAGAAGGCACTGGAGGGGGGTGAGGCTTCTGTGGAGCCTGTGGGATGATGGGAGTCTTAGGCAACCTTCCTTCAGAGGGACCCATAGTGTCTTCTGTGAGGTCATCCCATTTTACAGAGAGCAAATTGAGGCATGGGCATGCCTCTACTTACCTGGCTCGGGGATTTTACACCTGCATTCGTTTGTTCTCTGGCTCCTGGGAAAGCTGCTGGGAGGGTGTGGAGGGTGGAGAGCAGAGTCACACAGCAGGCAGGCACTCTGCCCTCGGGGAATGTCCCCCCCCCGCCCTGCACGCCCTACTGGGCTCCTGTCCCCACCACCTTTGAGCCCATTCGCCAAGGACTCAGTGACCTCCTGATTGAGGGGACACATCGCAATCCTCTCTTACCTGCTATTTCCTCCTCCTCGAAACCCTCAATCCCGTTTCCTCCTCTCCGCTTGATGCTTCTCAGTCTCCCTGTGGTCCCCTCCTCGTCGCTGATCCTGCCCCCTGGGCTCCTCAGTGTTCCTCAGGCCCCGTGCTCTTCCCTGGAGCCCCATGCTCCCTGAGGCCTCAGTGACACCAGTTCTCCGCTGCCTACTTCCTTCTCCCCAGCCTCCTCTCTTGCCTCCACCTCACTCCCTGACGCTCAGGGAGAGCTTCATGTAATTCCCAGAATATTCCATGCCCTCTCACTTGTCTGTGCCTTTGCCCAAGCTGTGCCCTCTGCCCGTAGCTCCCTTCTCTTTTCTCATTGCTACTTCTTACGCTTTAGTTAAGGCCCTATGCTAAGCATTTTACGTGAAAAACCCTCTGAGGTTTTATAATAATAAACTCTATTATTCCTGTATTACAAATGAGGAGATGAAAGATCAGAGAGGTTAAGTAACTTGTCCAAGGTCACACAGCTAACAAATAGCAGAGCCAGGATTCAAATCCCTCTGACTCCAAAGCTGGTGCTCCTGAGCTGCATGTCCTGTTGCCTCTGGAGACTCCCTGTTCCTATTAATTGACTTGAACATCTCCCCACTGAGCTGGGATTGGCTTTCTGGCACATAGTGGGTGCTCAGGGAAAGCATCCAGTGAATGCAGGAATGAATGCATCGAATGAGTAGGTGATGTTTGTCTTGGCTCTACAGCTAGATTCTTATCTCCCAGGAGGCACAGACTGAGTCCTAAAAGTCCCACAGCAGCTTGAAAAAGTGGGGAAAAAAAACAGGACTAGATTTCACATCAGGCCTTAAGTGGGTGTGTATTCCTGACTGGTCAGTTCCCATTTGCTTAGCTTCAGCCTCTGCCTCTAACTCAACTTGTGTAACAAATGATCACAAACCCTGTAGCTTAAAATAACAGAAATTTATTTCCTCATAGTTCCGGAGGCCAGAAGTCCAGAATGGTTTCACTGGGCCAAAATCAAGTTCGGCTGGGCCACACTCCCTCTGGAGGCTCCAGGGGAGCCTATTCCAGCTTACGGTGGCCGCTGGCATTCTTTGGCTTGTGGCTGGATCACTCCAACCTCTACATCCATTGTCACATTGCCTTCTCCTCTTCTGTCTCAAATCTCCCTCTGCGTCCCTCTTATAAGCACACTTGTGACTGCATTTAGGGCCCACCTGAATAATGAAGGATAATCTTCCCATCTCAAGATCCTTAATTTAATCACCTCGATAGGGTCTATTTCGCCATATAAGGTTAACATTCACGGGTTCTAGACACTGGGACGTAGACATCTTGGGGGGCTATTATTTAGCCTACCACAGAGTGGGTAGGAGGTCCCGGTGTTGGAGTTCTGCACAGACCTCAGCTATTAATACACTCTCCTTGGTTAGGATAAACCCCAAGGTAAGGGTGGGGCGGGGGCAGGAAGCTGCAGGACGCAGGATTCCAGCTCTGCCAGAGGGAGAACTTCCAACACTCAGAGCTGGCCCAGATGGAAGGGGCTGCAGGGGGGCAGTAATGAGCTTCCCACCCCTGGGGGCATGTAAGTAGGAGTCGGACAGATGCTTGCCAGGGCTGTTGTACAGAGGATCAGTGTAGAACTTGCAGGCTTTTTTTTTTTTTTTAAGTTTTATTTTTTTTTCTTTCTTTCTTTTTTTTTTTTTATAATTTTTTATTTATTTATTTTTTCCCCCCAAAGCCCCAGCAGATAGTTGTATGTCATAG